TCTCTCATCTGTCCCAGGGGCCGTGGTATTATGCCTCTCACGTTAGCACTCCTAATTGGATTAAAAATGGCTTGTTATTGGGAGAAAAATGACTGAGAAAACTATCATGATTATTGCCTCTCAACAATGTTGGCTCCCAGAGCTGAAGAGGTAAAATAATTGTCATGGCTTTGGAAAATGTCAAAATCAGGCTGTTTGAAAAGAAACAGTTACATTGATTGATTGCGTCGTAAGATCAAACCAATGGAAGACGATGTAGGAACATTACGTTTCTCATCCATTGTCTTATGCTGATTCTATGAAGCAAGACATGTCACATTAAAGTGTGGCATTCATGGCATTTATTTGCAACATTGTATACTTTTTAAATGCTTATAAAATAAACTTGACTTGTGTGTATGTGGTTTTTTGTAGACATACAGTACTGTTTGAATGCACAAATGGCTGTGAATGCATGCATGAACAGAAATGAAACAGACAAATCCATCAGAAGTCCACAGGGTTTTGGTTTGTATACCACCAGGAGCAGCCATTAACAGAAAATAAATGCCTGACGCCATAAAGCTGACAGTGTCTCATTCATACTGACACTCCGGCTAAATTACACATAAAAGCACTGATAACATCATCATTAAATATTGATTTTAAGGATGGTTGAAACGAAAACACATCCACACATATTTTACAGATGAGGGGCTTTGGATAAGAGTCAAAGAATATTAGGTGGATAAAAAAAAAAAGGCTGCTTGGATGGCTCCTCGTGGGAAAAAGATGGACAGAAGCAAAGCGGAAGGAGAAAAGGAGAGACTCAAAGAAGAGGGAGAGGGGGTGAAGAGTAGAAGGAGGTGAGGGCTTGGGAGGGGTAGAAAGAGATTTAAGGCAGAGGCTCAGAGCAGATGTTAGTGTTGATGATGATGGATGCAGGTTGTTGAGATGCAGAGTTGTTATCATGAGAGGCACTCGCAGCCTCCTCACAGCACACTTTCCCCCAGATGTCGCTGTGTATACGTGTGCATCTGTGTGTGTGTGTGTGTGTGTGTGTGTGTGTGTGTGTGTGTGTGTGTGTGTGTGTGTGTGTGTGTGTGTGTGTGTGTGTGTGTGTGTGTGCATCTCTGTGTGTGTGTGTGTGTGTGTGTGTTGTGTGTGTGTGTGTGTGTGTGCGTGTGTGTGCGTGTGTGTGTGTGTGTGTGTGTGTGTGTGGGTGTGTGTGTGTGTATGTGTGTGTGTGTGTATGTGTGTGTCACAGCAGTGGAAAGGGAGATGCTGAAATGAGAAGCCTCAAATTAGGTTAACACTTAATTTACTTTATCTATGTTGGTTTTTATGAAGAGCTTAGATTGAACATTCTTTTAATGCAATGCATTTCCTCATCAGGCTAACCTTAGATCAACTACAAGCTATAACAACAATGAACAGAAGCAATGAGATACAACAAAGGAATGATTTTCACAGATGAGGCTAATGGATAACTATATGTTACGCTCTTAAGCAAAGACACACTGAAAAGCAACTTCCTTTAAAGGCCTAAATTGGATTGAATTGAAGATTTTTCACCTTTATCTCACACAGGGGAGACATTTTCTTGCACTAAACCCTGTATCACCGGGCTACCACATACATCCCTGCAATCATCCAAATTCACCAAAACCACACACATCTGCTGCACACACACACAGCAGGTGGTGTGTGAGTGTGAATGGGACATATTGAGTGGTAACCTGCTCTACACTCTAACTAGATAAAAGGTGCAGGAAAGAAACATGTCGGTAATTGATTGCTAATTAGTCCTTTTGTTGTCTCCCATTGTGTCCTGACAGAGCTTTGCCCTATGCTGTCTATTCACTCGCAGTCTCAGTGGCCTCATAGCAAGGAAATAAGCAAAGTCAGTCCATAATGAGACACACCGATGAAACCTCAGCAGACGATAGAAGGTGCTTTACCAAATCTGTTATTGAAATTTTGGATGCAAATACAGAAGTCTTGATAGTGTAAACAACACATTTATTTTAGTTTTTCACCTCACAGTTAATCTCAGACAGAAAAGCATGCATGGAAATTATATTTAATGATGAGGTAATTCATTTCCCTCCAAAAGTGTCCAGTTGCAGATAGTGTCCCCCCTCAGCTGCACTGTGCTTTACAGTATGTGGTGCAGCGGACTATGAGCTGCTATACCCACATCTCTCTCCCTCTCTCATCAGTGCATGAGAAATTACCTAATGAGGAATGGGTCGCACATTTCCACAAACTCATTAACCCGCGAGCGAGTGAGACTAATTGCAGCGTTTGGGTAATGTGATTTCACATCTGTTACTGCAGCCCAGGACACATAGTCAGCACAGGGCTGGATCTTGTGGGATGAGCCACACATAGAGCTAGATTTACCAGAACCGCTGTTTGGCTGTGGGTATAATATTTGATCAACTTTTGTCATGCCATATTGTGTAATTACATTCCACTGCAGCCTACTGCATTTATTCTAAAAAATAAAACAAGTCTAATGCCAAAGCTGGCATGCGAAGCATAGAGGTAAATAAATAGCACAAGACAAAATGTGTTTGAGTCTTTGATTATGAAACAAACAGTCATTAAAGTTTAGAACAAAAAGTATACATTTGATTTATTTATTTATCAAAAGATATTCAGTTACTTTCAAATTGAATGTCAGATTGCGTGGGATGGCTTACAATAAATTGGTGAAACATCCATGGGTGACATGACTATATATAACATTGTTTATCAAGTACGGTTTTCCTTCTTTGGACTTCCATAATTAATCTTTATTTATTTACTTATTCATTCAGATGTTTTATTTTACAAAATAAAATAATGCTATCTGTATCGTATTGTGTAGTCTGTTAATGCAATCTAATTGCTTATAGCGGAAACATAGGGTGTGACACACACACACACACACACACACACACACACACACACACACACACACACACACACACACACACACACACACACACACACACACACACACACACACACACACACACACACACACAAAGCACAATGAGAAATAAATGGATTTTTCAGGGTCTTGACTTGGGTTGGTATTTTCAATAATTCTGTAAATTACTGCAAACAAATATTATGTTAATAGAAAAGGTGGGAACCAACTGTTTAATATGGGAAAAGTAATATACTTCTGTTAATTATGATTAATCCTTTGTTTAACCCCCCTGCATTGTTACAGAAACTCCAATTATAAGTTTACAGGCAGTAGGACTGCTTATGGTAATGCCATATCTCATCAATTACCATTCTGTGACCGTAAATTGGCCTCAGCGCTGACAACGAGATGAGGTTAACACGCTGATTAATTTGAGCTGCTGTGATTTCAGGCTCAAGTTGACACTTATAATCTTTGACACAGACAGTGAGGTCCGCTTTCTTCCATAATGGAAAAATGTTATTTACTTCTCTCTGAGCTCAACTGAGTTTATACACATTACATATCAAATTATTATAATTTGAAATTAGAGTAACACAAACAAGGTGAGAGTTGTTCTTACTACACAACTGATGGACAAGTAATGAGAAATGTTGAATAAATGTCAAATGATAAAGCCAAACTGAATAACACGGATTATCTGTATTTTTGTTTTGCATGTTATGTAAACACAATGCAAGCTATGGCTAATGATAAATCAGAAATAATAAAAAGATTAAAGTCAGTTAAACCACTTCAGGGTGACAGTATGTGAGTAAAGGTTGTTTAATGTCTTGGAGAAGTGTGTTTGTGTAATGCTTTAGAAACAAATGGAGGATGATCTGTCATTTAGTTTCCAACACAGTTTAGGCTTACTGTGCTGCTAAACTGGAACAGTTGTGTGAAACATAACAAAAGTTCAAAAATCAGTTTTTTGTTTCACATTGTCCCTATTATTAGCCTTGGAAACTCCCAGATCAACATGTGTAATTTTTTTGTATCTAATAGATAGTTTGCCTATTGCTTGTAAGGTTGCTGCTCATCACTTTGTTGAATAATGCCATGTTAATGATATAATGTTGCAGGATAAACAGTGATGCACAATATGATCACTGCATAGTTATACATTGTTTTAAGGATGTAATTAAGTGTTGATAAATTACTACAATGTGAGAATGATAATGTGAAAGCTATAGTGAGGCTGTGCTCGTCTATTTGTGACTAAAAAAAGAAGAAAGCCTTATTAAAGACTTTAAGTTTAGCTATTTGGCTATACTGTTTGTTCAAATAGTCATTTAGCACCCACCTAATAGCAAATGGTATGTTGCATCCCTGTGGCTTATAATGCCAGATTTAAGCTACATATATCAGATTAAAGTGTGACCCACATACTGATAGTTACAGTCTATCAACAGGGTTATTGATAGGCTGCTAAGGAGAAGTTCTAGTTGCCTATACTATTTCTGTGATTCCCATGAGAACTGAGCCCCCTTCTGGAATAACAAGATCTGGATATTATAACAAGTTCAGTTTTGCTAACTCATTGATTGAATCATATCTGCTCTCGAGTTAGGATGAGAGCCTGCTTTGGCCTCAGACTAAAAACTATAGAAACGATATGACACACACAGGCCTGTGTGTGCTCCTGTTTAGTTACAGTCCATCCAGTCTCAGTGATGACCGTCATGGTGAAAGGCAATGACCGTCACATCACTGCTCTGACATCTTTACCCCTCCTGTCTGCCCACTGGGAGCAGTCACCCTTCATAAACCCTTTAACCCTGTCAACTCACACACTGGTCACTGAGTAACAACCATAATATAAGTTTGTGCAGCAAAATTAATTAGAATATTTAAGCACACTATAAGTAAAAGTCCCATTATATTTGTGATTGATATAATCCAAATAACTACAGGTAGCCTAACATGAACCACCTAAGGGTGGTCAGTACTGAGGTTCCATAAATATAAACAGGATAATATAAATTCATGCAAAATGGTCATTATAACATCTTGTTTTACCTAATGGAGACATAAATCATTCTTGTTTTGACATTCTTGAAAATTACTTTTATTTGTTTGTTCATTTTAAATTGGTACAAACCCGTCAATGTGGTGCATTTCGATGTAAGATCAAACATTTAAGAAATGTATTAAGTAATAGCACATACAATAAGTTAAAACATGTCACAAAAAAGACCAGCGGGTACATAGCAAGAATGTTTTATCTACACAAAACATCCTAAAACAGCGTAGGCCTACTGAAATATTTGTTTTTTTCCTCTTTAGATGTATGCTCCCGTCTCATGCAAACGAGACTGAGGTCGCCTAAGAAAAGTACCTCAATTAATTTGAGTGGGCACCGGTTTCTCCTTAAATTATCCAAGCGTTTAAATCCACATGCACAGTGCATGCCCGAGACCCAGTTCAATAGGCCTGCCTACAGTATGGTGCGTGTGTGGTAGGCTGTTACCAAAATGTATACCCAATCTTATAAATATCCGTTTGACATAACACAACTTCACCTGAACACAATAACATGTGTGCGTAAAGACGCACCCAATAAAAACGTAAATACGACGATTGTTTGGCTCTCAATAATTAGGGCCTATATTCTAGAGATCATTACAATAGCATTTATCATCAATAGTTGATAAAAAAATCATTTTTGAATTAACAAGATACATAACCCCAAACCCATGATGTTTTTTCTTCCAGTTGTCCATCTGTGTTGTCCTTTTCTCTTTTTTCATTATGTCTAGATGTCACATACAGTCTCCATTTTCTCACATTTCAGGCCTGATTAGTTCGCTCGTTATGTCATTTGATCTAATAGCGGGAATAAAATCAGAAAAAGAGCCGCACGGTGGGGCTTGGAGATGAAGTTATGAGGAGAGGGGTTCGGTGGGGATTCTTTCAAAAGTCACTAAGTGAAACTCATGGACACTGTGTGCTCCAGCGCTTTGCGCCGCAGTGACGCGATGCTTGTCCCTCGCCACATGTCACTGTCCGGGGAACCACACAGCTGCGGGGAGCCCGATACGTTTGAGGGGCCGGAGAGAGAGGCCGACATTCCGGGGAAATGCGACTGGTAGAGGTGTGACTGCAGATTGCCATTTGGGTTCAGGCCGTTGGAGAGACCCATGGAGTTTGGTGGGCCAGGACCAAGGCCGCACTGTGACAGAGACTGCATGCCCGGCTGGCGACCCATGGACGGCGGGAGCTGCAGCTGGGAGACCCCCGGCATCCCCGTGGCCCAGCGAGAGTCGTTGGCGTGGAAGGAGCACAGGCTGTTCTCCATTGCAGCCGCGGCAGAGAACTGCTGCAGACCCGGCGTTGGGAGCAACGTCCCCGGCGAGCGGAAAACGTTGGTGGTCTTCTTCCTTTTCTTCCATTTGGCGCGTCTATTCTGAAACCAAACCTGCAACAGGAGAGACAGAACCGTTAGCCATCAGAGGGACACATGTCTGAAGCAGTACCTATCTGTTTATTACACTGTGAAGAGAGCTGACTAACTTTAGGACATTGGGGTCGTTAGGCTATTAATGAAACTAAATGATTGCATATAAAGGCCTACAGTCCGGCACGTGCACAGATAGACCCCAAAGGGGGCTTGAGCACCTGCCCTTTTGCCTCTGATTAAAGAAGTAATGTTTTGTTTGATTTTTGCGCACATGTAACCCAGTTCTTAAAGGTGGGGTATGTCATTTTGGAGAAACCAGCTCGAGTGCGCTAGAATTTGAAAGTACACAACCGGAAAAAATCTGCTTCTTCCTTCAGAGTTCCTTACAGAGCCCCTCCTCCAACACACACGAACGCGCACATGACCAATGAGGGCACGAGATAAGTTTGTGCATGTGGAAGGCTGACAGGTAGGTAGGCCATCCAGTTATTTTAGCCGGGCCGGCTCAGATGATTGGTCGTGCTCTTTACAGCGCTACGGCTTCCACAGATGACATTTTTTTAATGTATTTATTGTCAAAGCATTTAATATATTCATTGCTATCGGGATGTTAAGAGCATTCCATGGAATATAACAAAAAGTGTTTCTGAAATAAATTACATACCCCACCTTTAAAGGGTTAGCAACACAAAAGTTCCAGGACAATCGTTACACAGTGTTTTCAACACAGAAGTGCTTTAGCCAATCGGAATGCAGATCCTGTGTGTGTGTGTGTGTGTGTGTGTGTGTGTGTGTGTGTGTGTGTGTGTGTGTGTGTGTGTGTGTGTGTGTGAGAGTGTGTGAGAGTGTGTGTGTGTGTGTGTGTGTGTGTGTGTGTGTGTGTGTGTGTGTGTGTGTGTGTGTGTTTTGAAATTATTGAAATTATTATTATTATTATTATTATTGGCTATATTTATAATATATATATATATAGGAGGGCCAGCAAATATGTGTAGGGAAGTTAGAGATTTCGTCCTTGATTCCCTGGTGAAATCTACCCTGTTGTCCTTAGCGACACAACATCTCTAGCTGTGGGTCCTGGTCTAAATCTGAGTCTATAGCCTGCGTTGAGTTGGGGCAAACACATTGACAAGACATAACGGTAGATCTTCTGCAATTGGCCTAAAGACCTCCCATCAGAATATATTCACTTCCACCTAGCCAGGACTTTGATTGGGTAATATTAGGTGTGATGTATGAGTCGGTTTAAATTATAATATAACATTTAAATAATCTTCTTATAAAGTGGCTGCAAAAGCCAACCATTATTACATCCTGTTTTCAAAAATGTTATGTTTGGAACTGAAACAATCAAAATACCAGGGTTGTGAATTTCATTGTAAAGAGAAATACAACCTACAAAAGGCAATTTGTGTACAGGCAGCAGTCATAGTTTTATTACTGGTGTTCGGCAGCAGTACATCGAACAATGTATCTTTCCAACATCTCATTTACAAGCAGATTAACAGAAAATTGCAGTACAAATGGCCGGCATCACTGTACATAATCCACGTGAAAAATTCTCCACACGCACACTCGAGAACCACAAATACACCGACTCACGTACTGAGCTAAAAACGCACGCGTGTCCCAGTTGGGCTTTATAAAGATTTCATCATCTTCGGCCGTGATTAATGCGCGCGCGAGGCCGTGAGTCGATGCCTCCGTATTAAAAGTGAAATCTCGCTCTCATTCCGCTCAGCCATCCGTGAAACGTCGCCCAAACCCATTACACTCGGGGGGGAAAGAAAATGCAATTTCTCATTCCATTAAAAAAGTACAATATATTCTTGAGTCCTATTAAGACGTCGCTGATAGAGCATTTTAAAGGCTGTGGAGGCACGCGCCCTGTGAAGGCTGCACCTGCACGAGCTGCGCTAATGTTTACCAACAACGAGCAGGAGCCGAGCTGCACCGAGCACAGAGGATCCGACTCTACATACAATACATAATTGATTATTAAGGTGACTAATGATTATAGGCTACTGGTTTTATTGCGTTCAGTGGGATAATTTGCATGAATTTCACATCACTGGTTAATAACCCGTTCAGTTATAAATAAGACTGAAATTGGTTGATCATGTGTTTGGTTTATTAGAGGCTGGTATGTTTCTGCACGCTTGTTAAGAAAAAAGCACTTAAGTATTAGACAGTATAAATTGTTGCAAAAGTGATAACGACCAAAATTATTAAATAACATTTTTTTTAAATATAATTTCTAGCCAAACATTAAGTCATTTTTGTGGGGATAATTTCTATAGATGTTTTTTTTTATAAAATCATGTACATATTTGGCCAGGGTAACTCTCTTCCATTTGTAATGCTAAAATAAATAGATACATACATTGTCAAAGTCTTTAAAGCCACCCATGTAATTGTATGTAATTGTTAGGATAAACAGACACCAAACATTACCACTAATTTAAATGTTTAGGATTAAAGTTACCACATATGGCTTTGTACAAAATGTTTATGTTGAATCTGAATATTTCGGAGTTTATGAGGAACGGATTCCTGCAGGTGTAAATAGTTTCAGCACCTCAGACAGAGCCACTTTTATTTAGATCGGACTTGGCTTCTCAGAATTAAATATTTCTTACTATCAGACTGAATTTGAACATATGAGATTTGAATTATACAATTAAATTAAAGTAGGCTTGAGGTGGTATTTTTCTCTATAAAAACTGTTATTGGACTATCAGAACCAAATAAATCCTTCACACTGCCGACAGTGAGTTGAGGATTCATATAGTGATTGATATAAACCTTAATCAGAAATTATTTTTAAAGCGATAATATGACTCTAATTACAATCTGCACAACAGTCCACTGTACAATTATATAATATTTTAATTAATATAGAGTGCACCAATGACGTAAATTCACTCATTAGCTTTGATATTTCAGACATTTACTCCCAAAAACCTAACACCTAATAGCCACAATATTTGGTGACACAAATCGTTGAGTGACAAATATTTTAAAATACAGTTAAATAAATACAAAAAAAAACTGTTAGAAGTGAACAAACTATATCTTACAAAAGCACTGAGTGACTGAATGTTCGCCTGTTGTGAATATATAATGTTTTGCTCACTGTTTTTCAGATGGAGTTAAAGGATTATTTTTAGAAGTGTAAATCGCTTAAAAACTATACAAGACCAAAACACATTCCCTGATATACAACGGCAGTATTTTCATCCTGTGAAATTCACATTGCAGATGTGTTTACCTGAACTGCAGATGTGTTTACCTGAACTCTGGACTCGGTGAGGCCGACCCTCAGTGCCAGTTCCTCCCTCATGAAGATATCAGGGTAGTGGGTTTTGGCGAAGCTGCGCTCCAGCTCGTTGAGCTGCGCCGGGGTGAAACGCGTCCTGTGGCGCTTCTGTTTGCTGGAGGACTGACTGGAGCTCTGCTGCGGCTGCTGCTGCTGCTGCTGCTTCTCCTGCTCCTTCCCGTTCACTTGCATGCCGGCAGAGTTGGATCCCACCGTGGCGATATCTTCTCCCGGCAGGAGAGTGGTTCCCTCTACAGAGTCTGAACCAGGGGCCATGTCTCCAGGATGCCCCTGGTCTTGCAACCCACCACCCAGCCTGCACTTGAGAGCCTCCCGGTGTCCGAGTAACTCTGCAGCATCCTTCATCCCTGAGAAGATGAGGAGGAGAGTCTTTGAGTAAATACATGGGGAACCTTACAGCGCAGCATCTTTAAATGAGAGTTACGTGAAACGCTTTTTCTTCTTGATGACAACAGACATGCATTAATTCAAAGATTATAACACATACACTCAATATAGCTTGGGTCGTAATTTTACTGGGAATTTTAGTTGTCAGATAATTCCCCATTCCGGAAGATTACTGTAAAGAATGGCTTTAAACAACGATAAAACACTTAGCTGTTAACACAATCAAGTACACAGTCTATCTATCACATCACAAGGTTTAATAAGAAGTTGAAAGCTTACACTGGAGTTTAGGGCCGGAGTTTAGTGATGATAACTCACCCAGCCGAGCATCCAGGAGGTCGGCGTGAGAGAGCATCGCGTACCGCTCCAGGGTGAAATCGCGCCAAAAAAATCCCACAACTTTGGGGCAATTTAAAAAGTATACATCGTCTAAATGAACGAAAATTCGGTTTGTGGTTAAAAAAGGAGGTCCCTTGCATTATAATGTCCTTTAGAGCGATGGGGAGGCGCTTATTAGTTGAAAGAACCCGTGAGCTTCCTCAAATAAGAGCCAATCAGAACAGGAGCTTGGAAATGTCAGCGACGTGACTCCCCCCTCTTTCTTACACACATACGCTCGCTGACGCGCACGCGCACAGACAAAAAACGCGCACGAAACACTACAATTCAATTCAATCCTCTGCCATTCTGTCCTCTGATTTATTAGCTTTTCATGCTCAAATTATTCCACGTTAAACGTCTTAATGTGTTTGTTTAATCTCATATCTTTGTGCCATGACAGGACTCCTGTTTGTAGATGTGTAAAACACTGAAGGGGAGCTCATGCAAATATAAGGCTGCTTTATTTCAGCTCCATGTTGAAGAAGCGTACGGTTATTTAAGCAAGAAAATGTATTGCCATTACAAAATTCGGCATATCCAAATCTCAATTTTCAAATCACTGCATCAGCCTGCAGACAGGAACCCTACTATTTTCAAGCTGAGTATGATTGTTGATATAAAATACTGTGTATTTCCTATTGAGGTGGATAGCAGATTGATTGTGTTCTGTTAACAGTGTGGACAGAAGTTAAAAAAAGAAAATAAACAAATGTAGGAGATGAGTAACCATACGCTCAGCTCAGGCCTCCCTTCCCCACCTCAGAGCCCCATTTCCCCGTCCTTGGATCACAAACAAAACGAATATCGTTCCCATTCCCCCATGGCAGGTGATTTGTGGAGACAAATCGAGGAAATAAATAAATAAACGAGTACAGATGGATTTAAGCTCTGTTAGTGATCGGCCGCTTTAACTCTTATCGACTTTTCATCAACGCAGGCGCAATTAAAGGTATTTAGGCCTGTTTGGTTCAAACAAAATCAGACGTGGTGGACCCTAAACGATTGTGCCCCTTTAGCAGTGGTCCATAAGTAGGTCTATTATACAATTAACAGGACAGCCATTGATCTGCGCCCCACTCTTACTTCTCCAGACAGTGCTGGTTAGAGAGGGCTTTTGGCAGATGTCAGGGCGAGCCTGCTGAATACCCCACCGCCTGGGACTAAATGGGCTTCTTTGCAGCGGCACAAAGGAGGCGTCCGAGCGAGGACTCCTCTCTCTCCTCCTGCTCCACATAGGCAGCTCATCTTTTATGCTCCTCAACCACAATCTGCCGGGACGCAGGGATGTAGACTATGTGGCACAGCGTGAAACGTAAGGAAATAGACCTGTGCGTGATGCACTGACAATGGGGAGACTGTGAGCAGCTCCCGGAGGTTCAGGAGAAGAATTCAGCATCAGCTGAGGCTCGATGCGTTTGATTCAGACGCGTAGACCAGGAGAGGAGAGGGACTGAATGTTGGGAGTTGTAAGGCCAACCCTGCATGCGTTTATGAAGGGCTAGAGCCAGGAGAGACGGTCTGTATGCTTTGGAAGTGGTTTGTTTTCCAATTAGTGTAAGCGTAAAGACAAATGATGAAAAGTAAAATGAATAAATACGAATACATTTTTCTTTTTTGAATTTGACTCATGAAGCTCAGAATATTTCTTTTTTTCCCTCTAAAATAAGATGTCTTGTGCATGAATTAATATTTAAATAATGAATAATTTATGATAATACTATGTAAATTATGAAGTAAGTGAATGAAAGAGTACATGTATTTCATTCTAATTTAAGACTATTGTGAGGCAGTAATTCAATGTATTATTTGAATCGAATTTGAACGAAGTATGCTCAGTTTTTTTCAAACAATTACAGTGACAGTATGCATGTTCATTTTATAAATGTATTAATGATGTTTATTATTACTATTATTATTATTTACATATTTTGAAAATGGTGTAAGTAATTGTTCTATAGCCCATTTCTGTGAAGATTAATAATTGGTAATCAGATTTTGCTCAACAACAACAATATTATAATTATTCATTCATATTATTGAATTGTATTCTTTAAATTATTGAAAGCAATGCTTTTAAAAGACAAATGTAAAATATTTGTTATGGACACTGGATTTACACAAGAAATAGCACGTTTTAAAATCAAAAGGTTGCAGTGTATACCTATGTGAAGACTGCATGATAAATATTGCTATTGTGGTTTGTTGAAGTGAAAACAGGCCGGAGAGCAGACATCCCCTCAGCTGTCCGATCCCCAGGCTGTAACTTATTGCTGTAATAAGAGGAACCCACTTGAAATGGGTCTATGTCTCACTCAGCCTCCCTAACTGGACCGCATCAATCTTCCCCAGTAAAAACACACTCACATACAATCCTCCCGGGTTAATGCGGCGCATCTGAGTGCGGAACGGCTGTTTACACGCGAGGAGACACTTTTAATGGAAGCGCACCAAAAACAAATGCAATTTTGTAGAGCAATTTCAAAGATCAAGAATTCCGTGTCCACCCTCTCCGCGGTTTTTTAGCAATCAAACTGCGTTAAATCCATTGCTCATATGGGCCTTTGCAGAGCAGGTTAAAATAACACACGTAACAGAAGGCAGGTTTATGGATAAGATGTTTTACACCAAAACCAAATATGGACCAGCAGGCGAGCTGGTTGTTTCTTATGTTAAGGCCTACTGCATCGCATCGTGGACATCTACATTCGCTCAGTTAAAACATAAAACAAATCTTAAAGGAAAATCGATTTCCCATCTGCAAACGGCTCTCTAACACACCAGACTGTAGTTGTGTTCAGGTGATTTGATGACAGTCGGAGGAATAAGAAGCAGACCAATAAGTGCGTTGCATCCCAGTCCTGGAGATGCAGAGAGGCGAGAGCGGGGAGCCACAGGCAGGCAAAGCCATTAGAGGCTCCCCTCTTCGACCACCCAGCCTGGCTGCACCACCCCGCGCATCTCATGCCCCAATTAGGCCCCATGCCCTCCGCCTGCTCTCCGTTATTGCGTGATCTGGTGGACAGGGCGGTAATCACGGCTTCAAATAAAATAATCAGCAAAGAAGAACCATTTCCTTAATGAGGAAGAAGAGACGTGTGTCACGGAGAGTATGGTGTCGCGCGTGTGCGCGCGCGTGTGTGTGTGTGCGTGTGTGTGTGCGTGTGTGTGTGTGTGTGTGTGTGTGTGTGTGTGTGTGTGTGTGTCAAGCCCTATGTTGTGTGGTGTTGATGGTGGTTTGGGGGTTATTAAAATAGCAATGAGAGTCACAGTGTCATTAACACTTGGTGTTCAGAGTCACGGCAGGTTCAAAACGGTCTCGTTACCTCTGCTGTACATATGTGCTCAGGTGTTCTATGTTTAGGATCATTTGTAATCCAGAAACACAGCCAGCATTAACAATCTCAGGTTAAATTCAAAGGCATATGTGATGTGGTCCATCAACATGTTATCCATGTCACTGGACCAGTGTCACGTGTATGTTACTTTCCATACTTGGTTTACATCTGTAGATGTTAGACTGTTATTTTGGCTTTTAGGAGCTAAAACAAGATGTTTTTTGGCTCTTAGGCCAACAATGCATTCAAAAGAAAACACTGTAAATTCACCACAAAGCCTCATCAAAAATACATGTTTCTACACTTATACTCTCAACATAATCCCTCAGCAGGTGAATGCAGGATGAACCGTTATAAAACCAAGCTCTTAAAACTGTACCATATTTGTGTTGTTGTGATGATTTAATGACTAATTATAGCTTAAAGAGACCACAAATATTGACTATTCAGCTAAAATTCTCTTAGACAATTAAGGAAATTTAACACATGATTAGTCACCTAATTGACTAAAAGGTTGCGGCCCTAAACATCACACACGTTCATTGAAACAAAAAGGTCACTGCTGGTGCTGGCGGTTGATATGTATAATCACAATATATGCATCCAAATCACAAATGCATTGAGTATTTATATCATTCCATTTTAAAGGAGCTGGAGCTGCCAATATATGGTGCCAACACCATTTTGGTAATTTCCCAAATGTAGTTAATTTTATAATTTCTACAGTGTCACATTTCTGCAAACTTTATAACGAATAAAATCCTTTAAATGTGTGGCAATCCATTTGATATTCAAGCTGTTTTCCTCTCTGTCTAAAAACTGGACATATTGGAAATGCAGAGTTTAAGGGCAACAGCAAAACAAATCTTCCTTGAAATCTGTTTTGACAGCTTATTGGCTCAGAGTACTGAGGTCTACACAATTCTGATAAAAGCTTGACTCCACATGATCGTGAGTGCTATATGTTTTCATTATTTTTTCAGTACTAGCAGCAGTGCAAAGCAGTGGTGCTTGAATGTGCTTTTTCTGCGTTAATTTAATTTCTCTGCATAAATACCTATTTTAACACATTTAAAACGGAAGCATAATATTAAACCAACAAGGTTAGAGTACTAAACCTGTAATCTATTGTATTTACAGTCTGACCTCAGTCACTTGGGCTCCTCCAGCTGTCTACAGATCTAATTCCTTCTCCTCCCAGACACCTTGACTTTCCCTGCAGACAGTTCTGCTCCAGCTATTAGAATATGTTCTTTCTTAAGTCCGGTCATTAGTTAGGTCCATTACTGTGGCTCCATCATTAGGAAGCTGTAATGCATCATTGAAGGTAATGAGTGCCTAACATTACAGGTGCCAGCCAGCCCTCAACACACTGAGCGGGAACCTTTTACACTGCAGCCTGGAAACATCTCAGCTTTACTCATTTTAACCTAGAATCTGTCAGTGAGGTGATAGTGGCATTAAAATAGATCATTTATGTTCTGATGCGATATTTATTTCATATGAAAGATTTGAATTTCCTAAAGAGTTGATTTACGTAGATGATTAAGTAAAAAAGAATTGATGATTAAACAGTAAGAAAATAATATTTGTGATTGTCGCAAACGTGTATATTATTTCACACATACCTCCTGCAGAGACTTGTGCTCCTAAAAAAACAGATGAAAGG